GAGGACTCTTTAAAGTAGACACACTACATACTGATATACACCTGAACATCAGCAGGAGAGGACTCTTAAAGTAGAGACACACATACTGAATACACCTGAACATCAGCAGGAGAGGACTCTTTAAAGTAGAGACACTACATACTGATATACACCTGAACATCAGCAGGAAGGACTCTTTAAAGTAGAGACACTACATACTGATATACACCTGAACATCAGCAGGAGAGGACTCTTTAAAGTAGAGACACTACATACTGATATACACCTGAACATCAGCAGGAAGGACTCTTTAAAGTAGACACTACATACTGATACACCTGAACATCAGCAGGAGAGGACTCTTTAAAGTATCAACTAATATCACCTGACATCAGCCAGATCAGCAGAGGACTCTTTAAAGTAGAGACACACAACTGATATACACCTGAACATCAGCAGGAGAGGACTCTTTAAAGTAGAGACACTACTGATATACACCTGAACATCAGCAGGAGAGGACTCTTTAAAGTAGAGACACTACATACTGATATACACCTGAAACATCAGCAGGAGAGGACTCTTTAAAGTAGAACACTACATACTTATATACACCTGAACATCAGCAGGAGAGGACTCTTTAAAGTAGAGAACTACATACTGATATACACCTGAACATCAGCAGGGAGGACTCTTTAAAGTAGACACACTACATACTGATAATACCTGAACATCAGCAGGAGAGGACTCTTTAAAGTAGAGACACTACATACTGATATACACCTGAACATCAGCAGGAGAGGACTCTTTAAAGTAGAGACACTACTACTGATATCACCTGAACATCAGCAGGAGAGGACTCTTAAAGTAGAGACACTACATACTGATCTACACCTGAACATTAGCAGGAGGGACTCTTTAAAGTAGAGACACTACATACTGATATACACCTGAACATCAGCAGGAGAGGACTCTTTAAAGTAGAGACACTACATACTGATATACACCTGAACATCAGCAGGAGGGACTCTTTAAAGGAGAGACACATACTGATATACACTGAACATCAGCAGGAGAGGACTCTTTAAAGTAGAGACACTACATACTGATATACACCTGAACATCAGCAGGAGAGGACTCTTTAAAGTAGAGACACTACATACTGATATACACCTGAACATCAGCAGGAGAGGACTCTTTAAAGTAGAGACACTACGTACTGATATACACCTGAACATCAGCAGGAGAGGACTCTTTAAAGTAGAGACACTACGTACTGATATACACCTGAACATCAGCAGGAGAGGACTCTTTAAAGTAGAGACACTACATACTGATATACACCTGAACATCAGCAGGAGAGGACTCTTTAAAGTAGAGACACTACATACTGATGTACACCTCCATCCTCCCTTTAATCCATCCTCTTCTGCATGTCTCTATCAGTCCTTCTCCCTCCATTGTCAATCAACTGTCTCCATTTTCCACCCTGGACGTTTTGACTGTGAACATCCGTTAACCAGCCGCCTTGTCTTAACTCTCCTCCAATCATCCATCCTGTCACTTTTTGACTCCATCCATCAGCGATCACAGCCCACTCTGCGCGACACTCTTAACACACCAGCGCTAAAAAAAAGTCTACTTCAATTTAATGGATCATAAGGCATTCGGAGTGAATATTCAGAGTGTGTGTGGCTGCCGCCTGGAGATTTAATCCTGCGCTGCATAATTGATGGAGAAGACATTGAAAAACTCACAGATCGTTAAATGTAGAGCAGATTTGCCAACACACGTTTCAGAATAGTTATTCTCCGCGTCTGTCAGGCTATATGTCTGCAGGGAGACATTTCCTGAAGACTGGGATGATTATGGTGATGATGACGTTTATATTCTTCATCCACACAACCTTAACTGACTCTCTGTGGCAGGAGATTAAATATAATGGATACGTCCCTTTCAGATTCTCTTCAAAGTGTAGGACCATTAACCCTGTCTTAGTCTTTTATATATAACACCTTATTCCGCGTAGTACACGTCTACCTACTTAAAATAAACAACGACTTGACTCACAATATTGATTTCATCCATTTAAAAATCATCATATCGCTTCCACTAATAAAATATAGTCTGTTGACTGCGTATCAACGGCTGGAGTTGCGGAGACAACAACACAAATTTAAATTTCCAACTCGAAAAAGGACCTACTAAAATAAAACAATATCAGTTGATTGTGAGATATATCTAAATACATTTTAGTTTGACATTGCCGTAAAACAGCCCTTTAGGTAACGTTAAGGACACGGTTAGAAACATAAATGCTCTGTTTAAAGCAATTAATTGGAGTCTGGTGGATTTTAAATGACGCCATTGTTTGATGAGATGTTTTGATATGAGAAAAACAAATATGTTCTTACCCCCCACTTCAAGTATCTTGGAGTCATAATGGACTCGAATTTTACTTTTAAGAAACATTAGAAAGTATCCAATACAATTAAATTCAACTTGCAAAATGTTAAACAAATTAGACCTCTTACTCTCATGCTGCAAAGTCATACCTCCACTGTGATTCTATCCCACATTGAATACTGTTTTGACAACTGGGTTTGCTTGTGCCACAAACTTGAAACCCATAGAACAGCTGTACAGAGAGCTATCAAGGTGTTTGACAGAAAGCCTAATTCATACCACCACTGCACATAGAGAAACACCATTTCTTGAGTTTTTGACCATTTTAAGTCTTTTAAAAGTATGTGTTTTATTTATAAATGTTTACATGGACCCCCCCCCCCCCCCCCCCCCCCCCCCCGCTAAATGCACTTTAACACAGGACTTTAGGTAGCTCTTGTTATCTCCTGCACTTATATATGTCGTAGCTGCTACATTGTATGCCATGTGATTAATGCTTGTATATGCTCATGCTCTTTTTGCATATCATGTATTTATTTTTTGCTATGTTTACAAATGTCATGTTCATATATGTTGTATGTGACAGGACTACGGATGGAAATTAGCTCAAAGCTAAAATCCGGCGTGTTTACACTTGAAGCATTATTGGTCTAAAGTGTTCATTAATGTGCATTGTCCCTATTCAAATAAACGATTAAATGAAAAATGAAAATCTGTTTTTAGGGAAGATTTAAGTGTTTGAGTTCAGGTTCTTTATTTGTACCCGTCGGTAGATTTAGTTTGCAGATAAGAAGACATCCATCCTGACACACTCTAAAAACAAACACAGACACATCTCTAATAAAATAACTAATACAAGTACACCCTGCTCCGTCAAATCTCAAAATATATAAAAACGTTTAAAAAGAAAAACACTAGTGCAAACATGGACATTCAAAAGTCATAATTAAATAAATAAATAGGCATCTGTGTGACGCTCCTATGTGTCTGTCACCCAATGTTATCCCATTGGGTGACAATTCATTCAAAACAAACCAAGCTCTTGCATAATGTCAACATCGTGTGCGTCCTCTAAACAATGAACATGATAGTTATTATAATATTGTTTTAACGGACATATGTGCATCTTGTATTGTTTTTATTTAACTTGATAACTATCACCCCCAAAGGAAAAGTGATTGACAGTGGGGCGAAGAATCAATAACATACAAATTAAGAAACAATTAAACTCTAATAGCGAGCACTTGCACAATGCAGTGGACTGTGTTGTGAAAGACGAAATAGAAAATGCAATGTATCATTTATTTTACGAACCCAACACAATGAGCATTTGTTTGTTTTGAGTCAGATGTTTTCTAGAAATCTCTGTGAATTAAACGATTTGACAAATAGATATCTCAGCCGAAGGAAGATACGTTGTTTTTGTTACAGTATCTGTTCATTTGTCCTTTTCTCTCTTACTGGATCTATTAAGCCTATTAATTGTCGATTGATCAGCTTTCGCTTTTCAATGTGATACCTTTAAGTTGTGGTATTCATTTGATGTCACCTGAAACACCAGGAGCATATGATGGGCATTTTCACAGTCATTCAATAACAACACATGCTTTGAAGGTCTCCTATTATGCAAAATCCACCTGTTCATGTCTCTTCTACATCAACATGTGTCCCCTCTTCTTCATGTCTCTTCTACATCAACATGTGTCCCCTCTTCTTCATGTCTCTTCTACATCAACATGTGTCCCCTCTTCTTCATGTCTCTTCTACATCAACATGTGTCCCCTATTCTTCATCTCTTCTACATCAACATGTGTCCCCTCTTCTTCATCTCTCTTCTACATCAACATGTGTCCCCTCTTCTTCATGTCTCTTCTACATCAACATGTGTCCCTCTTTTCATGTCTCTTCTACATCAACATGTGTCCCCTCTTCTTCATGTTCTTCTACATCAACATGTGTCCCCTCTTCTCCATGTCTCTTCTACATCAACATGTGTCCCCTCTTCTTCATGTCTCTTCTACATCAACATGTGTCCCCTCTTCTTCATGTCTCTTCTACATCAACATGTGTCCCCTCTTCTTCATGTCTCTTCTACATCAACATGTCCCCTCTTCTCCATGTCTCTTCTTCATCAACCTGTGTCCCCTCTGTGGAAAGAGACTCTGAAAGTTTCAGGAACAAAGATTCTCTCTCTCTTTGTCCTGATCCATTTCTATAAAAACCTGTCTGAAAATGAGCTGATCAGATTTTGGCCACTTTGTGATGTCATAACGATGTGTTGTCTTGTGTAACCATTAGCCAATCACCAACCAAGGTAACCCCCCCCCCCCACCCACCTTATCACCTGAATCTCCTCCAGAGCACCATTGTGTTCTTTTAAACCAATCATCTCTCAGAGGGGCGTGGCCAGCAGCAGCTCATTAGCATTTAAAGCTACAGACACAGAATCAGCACTTTTGAAACAGGGCTGAAACAGTGGGGATTATGGGATGCTGCAATGATCTGTTTGGTGTTTCAGCCAATCAGAGACATGTTCCGTATATATCTGAGACCTGTAGTATGTTGTTGATAAAGAGTAATTGTTATAATAGTATAATTATCCTCCCCTCCCCTCTCACCTGAATCTTGATTGGCCAGCTGAAGTTGGTCACGTAGACGTAGAAGGTGATGTTGTGGTGGAGTCTGAAGTTGAACTTCTCACAGGAGAAACTGTCTCGGTGCTCTTGATGTTGGTCCTCGCTGATGGGCATCTCTTCACCTGAGATGGTGCCCGCTGGGACCAAACAGAGAGAAGTTTTAGGAAGAAGTACAGTAGTTTAGTTTTAAAAAAAATGCTTTATAGGGTACAGCAGCACACAACAACCAAGAACAGAAGTATTTTGCTGTCGTAGCATCTCAACAGTGTGCAGAGTCTACAGTAAAAACAGCCTTGTTTTTGCACCACTCTATACTGATGTTACACTGAATATGTAGCAATAATAAAGCAAGAAAAACAACTTTAGTGTAAACCTTTAGCCATGAGAGAGCATCACAATGAGCAGAGCTTCTTTCACCGTCAGCGTCCTTGTTAAGCTATTTTCACACAGAAAGTGGTTGCAGTGGAAACAGCCTAGATTTTGTAAATGTCAACGATGTGCCGTTCATCTCACACAAACAATGTTTTGTTGACACCTGGCAGTAACTCAGAGTGGGCTTTTAACATTTCCCCCAGTGCTGAAGTGGTCCGATTTCAGTTTCCTTCAGCAGTTTCTGTGTAATGCTTGACTTTTTCTGACAAAGTGAATAACAGATATTTCCACCTCCTGCTTTAAACACTCACACACACACTCTCACACACACACGAACAGACACACAGCCAACAGTCCCAAACTGAAGAGGCCCCAAGACATTGAGGGTGTTTCTCAATCGCGAGTACGTTTGCTTGGTAGCACATGTCTGCCGAG